GTGAATAATCATTTTTTTTAAAAAAAAGAAAAAATATTTTTCCCTCTCTAGATCTCTTTTCTTTTTTCATAATGTGGAGGCTCTCTGTTGCTGACCTACTCTTTGCATGACCCATTGCCAGGTGAGGATTTGGAGAAGGTGATGTGGATGACACAGAGAGGGGCAGTGACTGGCTGCAAGTTGCACAGATTTTCATTGGGATCCTATATGGGTGGATGGGACAATGTGAGGTGAGCTGCCTCTAGAGGAGCTACTGGTTTAAGGGGTCCCCAAATCCCAGCTCCAGTCTGAGACCTGGCCACAAAGAAGGTAGGATGTAGGGTGGATCCCTCATCCCTGCTGTGCCCCTAGGTGTACTTGGAGCCAGCCAAGCCTGAAGCTGACACAAATTGTGAACCTGGGGAGGAGGCAGGTGGGGTGGTACCAATGGAAACTTACCTGCTTCCCACCATGTCCTGTCTTCTGCTCAATCTGGCTCTTTGACAATTCTCCTGCAGTATCAGAACCAACAAGAATTTGTGGCCTGTGTCTTGGCTTTAGCTATGGATTCCAAGATCAGCAGGGGAGACTGGACAAGCCTACAGCCCTGGGGTGTGTGTGAGGGTGAGCTGTGTGGCCCCTCCCCTCATTTAGGAGAATGAGTCAACAGGACTGGGGGATGGGGTGGAGAGTGAGTGGAATCAGAAGGCATGGATTCTTCCCAGGGTGTAGGGTGGGCTGGCAGAGTCACCTGGAGGAGAAGCAGTACTGGGAGTGGAGATGGGGAGCTGCTGAGTTGAAGTCACCTGGTTGAGCTCATGCAGACATTCTGATCAGACCCTCCCCCACACCCTGTGGGAATCAGCTCAACTGCAGGGTAAGGACATACCAGAAAGGGGTCAGGAGCCTGGGCTCATGCAAAAATGCTAAATAAAATATCAGCAAATTGAGTTCAGCTGCACTTTAAAGAACAACAGACCAGAGGAATGCAGAGTTTTATGCCAAGGAGGCAGGGGAAGTTTAGCGTAAGAAAGTTTCCTTTCTTCAATGAAAAGATGAAAAGAGAAAAATACCAAATGATCATTTCACCATGGAAAAACATTGAATAACATTTAGCAATCACTCTTGATTTTTTAAAACGTTCTTAGTAAATGGGAAATAGGAAGAAATTAGTCTGATCAAAAATTGTGATTAGAAAGGAACTGTCTGCATTGTGTTGGATGGTGAAACAAGAGATAACATATTCCAAGATGGGGCAAGGATGCCTACAATCATAGCTAATATTCAATGCTTGGTATTAAAGTTTTTCGCCAATGCAATAAGGTAAGAAAAAGAATTGACGCCACAGAAAATCAGTTGAAAATCAAAAATAGAAATCAATAGAAATCAAAAAGAATAAACAAACAAACGAACGAAATGGATAGAACTGATTTAGAAGTTGAACAGTGTAGGTGGAACACAAGAGATTGTTAGGGTAGTAAAACTTTTCCGTATGATACTGTAATGTCGCATATATGGCATTGTGCATTTGTCAAAACCCAAAGAAGGTACAACACAGAGTGAATTCTAATGTAAACTGTGGACTTCGGTTAATTACAACATATTAGTATTCACTAATCAGTTATAACAAATTTATCACACTGATAAAAGATGTTAATAATAGGGGAAACTGGGGAGTGGGGGAGAGAGAGATCTATAGAAGCTCTCTGAGATTTCTGCTCAATCTTTCTGTTATACCGAAACTGCTCTAAAAATGTATATTAATAAAAAAATAAATCAAAATAATTACAAAAAAGTGCTTGCTACTGAGTCATTGCTCAATAAACATCAACACTTCTAATATGAGTGAACCACTTGGGACATAGTATGTGCTCATAAATGTCAACCATTTCAAAATATTCTTCTTTTGATTATAAAATAAATCACTTTAAAAATTAAATAATACTATAGAAAAGGATATACCATCATACGTATATCATCTACTCTATTTGGGCATAGAGTAGAGGTGCTGAACTGGGGGTGACTGACACACACACCCTGACACCATTGACACCTTTGTTTGTCATAACTGTAAGGAAGGGGAGAATGCTACTGGCATCTAGTAGGTGGAGGCCAGGGATGTTATTCGACACCCTACAATCTACAAACAGCCTCCACGATAGAGATTTATCCAGCCCAAAATGTCAACAGTGCCAAGGCTGAGAAATTCTGGCATGAACTCTTTTGTTTGTTTGTTTTTTTAATCTAAGTGAGACCTGACTGTAGATATCACTGGGTAACTTGGTTTTTCTCCCTGTCCCCTGGAGTCCTGGGCAGCACCTGCACCCATGATCTTATTTTTTTACATAAATTTATTTATTTATTTTAATTAGTTTCAAGTATATACAGTACATTGGTTAGACATTTATATAATTTATAAAATGATTCCTCTAATTGCTGCTAATCTCCTCTGGTTTTCCACCGAGCCAATAGATTAATGCTGACTGCATTCCCTATGCTGTGTTCCCATGATCTTTTTATCAACAGCTTGGTTTTCTGTCTCCTGAAAGCACCAAGTCCTATGTTCCAGGATCTCAAGATAGACACATGGATTGATTTTTTTTTTTTTTTAAACCTCCAGCCCTTGGCTTTTCTGAATCTCAATGTGTTCCCTGTACATACAAGCCCATTTTTTTGGCCGGGGTCAGGCAGCATCATTCAAATGCTCAGAGTCCCTGGTCTGGAATGATGCTGAAAGGTGTTAATATAAAGCTACCGGGATAAAAACTGGGTGGTGATTGTATAGGCATAGACCAGTGGCTCTCACCCAGGGGCAGTTTCATCCCCAGGGGACATTGGGAAATGTCTGGAGACATTTTTGGTTGTCATGACTTGGGTGGCGGGGGGAGTGCAAGTGGAATTAAGTGAGTAGAGGTCTAAGAACAAGGATGTCTGCATTTTTTCATTTCTATCAATATAGAATTGGAAGTTCTAGCCAAAGCAATTAGGCATGAAAAAGAAATAAAAGGCATCCAAATTGGACAGCCAGGGTGGGACCAACAGAAATTTCACAGATACTACTCAGAACAGTGTGCAATTTAAAACTTATGAATTGTTTATTTCTGGAATCTTCCATGGAACATTTCAAACCTTAGTTGACCATGGATAACTGAAATCTTGGAAAGTGAAACTGCAAATAAGAGGGGTCTACTATATTAGTTTCCTGTTGCTCCCATAGTTTAAAACAATAAAAATTTATTCTCTCACAGTTCTAGAGTCCAGAAAGCTGAAATCAAGATTTTGGCAATGTCTGACTAGACTCAGTGGGTGACCTCACCTCAGGCAATCTTCTGAGCCTCAGTTTTTTTCCTCCAAAAAGCAGGTTCACTTAATGGATGAGATGAGGAAAGTGTCCAGGCTCAGAAGGAAAGCTAAAACGTTATTTCTCCTTCCTCCTCCCCGCCACGCTCCTCTGAAGGTTCTAGGAGAGGATCCTACCTTGCCTCTTCCAGCTTCTGGTGACCCAAAGCATTCTGTGGCTTGTGGCCGTATTACTCCAATCTCTGCCTCCATGTCCACACAGCTTTCTCCCTATGTGTCTGTGTCTCTGGGTCTCTCCTCCTCTTCGTATAAGGACACAGTCTTTGGATTCAGGGCCCATCCTAACCCAGTTTGAATTTTCTTAAATATACCTTCCAAGACCCTATTTTTAAATAAGCTCACATTCTGAGGTTTGGGGTGGACATGAATTTTTGTGGGGGAATCTACTGAACCCAGTACAGGAGCCCCAACTACCAGGTGAGCAGGGAGTCGTGGGAACCATGGTAGGTGTGTGGGCAGAGGTGAGTGCAGCCAGCTGTCAGAGTCACTGAGATCCCAGGGGCTGGTGTAGGGACATAGTGGATGCTGGCAGGGTCCAGTCAAAAAGGGCAGCTAGGAGGGGATATCTCAGGAAGTCAGGAGGGGAGAGAACCTGTGTGTCTGGGAGGGCAGTATAATTCACCTTGATGAGGGAGTGGTCACCTCATTCTGATGCTTTAAATACTCACGTTTATTCACTCGCAGGCTTAGGGCAAGAGACACAGAGATTCGCACTCAGATCTGACTAAGATCTCAGGCCAGAACGATTTTTCAGAGAGCTCTGGACATCAAGCTATAGAATCTATTTATTTGACGTGTGTGGATGAAGTCTCCAGCCAAGGGTCAGGAATATCCCAGGGATGTGCACTAGTGATGTGTACACCAGTGATGTGTAGGCAATGGAGCCTCAGCATCATGAAGCACCCAGGCTTGTCCCTGCCCAGCTGGACTCACTGGGTGACTTTAGGCAACCTTGCCGAGCCTCAGATTTTCCTCTGTAAAGTGGGTTCACAGTCCTTAATGGATGAGATGAGGAAAGTGTCCAGGCACAGGAGAAAGGCTAAAATGTTATTTTTCCTTCTTCCTCCTCTCCTGCTTCCAAAGTCAGAGGCCATGTAACATCTGACCCTCCAAAGGGAGAAAAACAGGGTAAAGGAGAGAGAGCTGGTATCCACCTCCTGATGTGTCTCTTGTATGTTCTGTGACCTTGTCCAAGTTATTGTTCTTCTCCAGGTCTAATTTCCCCACCTGTGAAATGGAGTACAGGGGGCTGGGCCCAAGGTCCTCCAAAATCCTTGTGAAGGTTTACACACCTCCCAGGAAAGAGCTAGATCTTTCTCAGACCCTAACATTGGACTTGGTGGTTTCCCATGTTGTTCAGAGGAGACTCCAACATCTTTTTATTGTAGGCAGAGAAAAATCTGGCCTTGTTTTGTAGCAGTGGGCAGCCAGCAGGGAGTAGGCGTGCATTATCTAAGACCGGGGACTGGCTGGAAGCAGGAGGCTAGATAAAATGACCTCTTGGAGGTTGGGCTTTGCCTCTTCTCATAGGGTGGGGATGTACAATCTCAAACTCATCTGCATATGATAACATCCAGCCAATAAGAGTCTGAGGTCATTGCGCCCTAGCTTGGGATTGGCCCACCCTGATGTTCCCTCCCAGGCAGTCAGTCCAGGCTGGTTCAGAGGTCTGTCTCCCGTAGGTCACAACCACCTTCCTGTCCACTGCTGGGAGTCCAAGAGCCAGAGCCAACTCCATTCACCTCCTTCTGCCCTAAGAAGAGCAGATGGTCCTCATCAGTGGTGGGCGGGGAGTCAGAAGGTCTCTTGGCTCTGGGAGGCAGTTCCTCAGTCCCCTGAAGGAAGGAGAGAAGAAAGACCTCTTCAAAGACCCCATTTCTGATCTGTGTCAGCTCATCTCTCAGATGGGGACACTGAGGGCCCAGGAGGATAGAACCTGGGCAAGGTTGCACAATAACCCCTTGTCCGGTGTATCGGCCAGTCCTGTCCCCTCTGCCTCCAAAGCCTCCACCCACTTCTCTTCCCCATGCCCAGATTACCTACAGTCCAGGTTATCAATGCTTTCATGCCTTGGTCTTCTCCCTGACTCTCTGCCTGTTTCACTTAAAGAAAATAAATATTTCCTCACAGGGGCTGGAGGGAGCTTTAAAACATTTCAGGCAAATAATTTCCCTTCCTAGCCTGTCCCTTGTCAAGCCTGTTCCAACCTCAGGGCCTTTGCACCTGCTGTGCCCTCTGTTGAGAATGCCCTTCCTCTGGATTTCCCTATGATGAGCTCTTTGTCTTCATTCTGGGCTCTATTGATGTCCCCTCTTCCAGAAAACCATGCCCACCACACTGTCTTGTTTTATTGTCTTCCTAATACTCATTCCCTGCCTGCCAAGTCCTATTCATTACTCAGTTTAGCTTTTATCAGCTCCTGCTAAACAGTGGGCTCAAACTCCAGCCCAGTGGAGAGCTGGGTACACAGCAAGTGCTTAATAAATGAGAGGATGAAACAGAAAATCCAAAGCAGGGGCAGGCCTGAGTCAGACCTCCCCAGGGACAGCGTTTTCCAAACTCGAGGCATTTACATAGCAACCACCTGGCTTAGAGTCATTCTACCCTGTTACGTTTCTTATGTAAGATTTTCCCTAAGCTGACTCACTTTTGTATTAAGTAATTTTATTTTCAAGAAAGACTTTATATCAACACTCTAAAGCAAACCAGTTTCATCTGCCATAGATTGGAGAGGCAATGAAAATGAAAAGTATGCTTAGTCTTCATTAAAGGGGATAATAAAAAAGTGTTGAAGACACATCAGCTCCCAACCGAGCCTTTCCACAGGGGGTTATGAGAAGTTGAGAAAGATTGTAACTCACCATGTCATTCTCCTGAGTTATGGCCATGCCCAGAGCACCCCAAGCTACTTTGGTGCCTTTTCCCCTATTCTAGGAGCCCAGCCCTGAGACTGACCTTCACCAAGCTGTCGTCCAGGGTGGCTGCTTCTTCCTTGGGGGCCACTGATGCTGTCTGCTGTGTGAGGTCCCACCACAGCAGGCCAGGACCCAGGGCACTGCGCTTGGTGGGGCCTAAAGAGCAGAGAGTATGGGGTCATTTAGTGAGGGGTGGGAGAGCTCTGATGAGTTCCAATCCCAGATGTGATAGTGACCCATAGGGGGAACCATGGCAAGCCTCTGCCTCTCTGGGCTTCAGTTTTCTCATCTATACATCAGTGGATGGCCAGGAGGGTCCAGCACATAGTTCTGTTTACTGATATGTGCCCAGCGTCTAGAATAGTGCTTGGTACAGAGATGGAGTTACTAAAGACCTGATGAATGTAGAGTCTAGACTAAGGAAGTGGAAACAGGTACTGTTATCACTATTGATTTAACTTGACATCTTTCATCTTCTTCGTGGGGTTCAGAATTTCTTGAGGAGCTGGAGTGGCCAAGTCCTGATCAGAAACTATTTCAGCACCAGGGACAGCGTCTCTCGTTCCCACCCCACATCCTCTGGCAAGGACTTAACCTTTGGGGGTAGGGGAAGGATGCCTCAGTTTCTGTCTTTGCAAAATAGGACAAGCCCTGCAAGGTACAGGGCTGTCCTGAAGGCAATGCAGCATAAAGGGTATAGATGTATCCAACACTCAATGGCAGCTTGGCCAGTAGGAGCGTCCTTCCTCTTCTCCCTGCCCAATGGATCCTGGAGTCAGAGGGATTTTTAGAATGACCTCTGAGGAGGCCACATGCCCTACTTACCTGTCAGGAAGCTGACAATGGCTCCAAATAGCATAGTGCTCACTGTGCCCAGGGCACCATAATAAAGATAGGAAATGGCATAGAAGCTGTCAGCCAAGATGGGTTGACCAGGGTCTATTCCGGAGTCCACCCTGAGGATGAGAAAGGTGGGCATGGGTCTAAAAGCCACTCCCAATCCATCCACTTCCTCCCATCTCCACTGCCATGGCCTAGCCCAGCTCTCCATTATTGTTCACCCAGCTGTGTGCCGTAGTCAATGCTCCTCTCCTGCTCTCCCACTCTCCCTCCCAGGCGTGCACCACATACAACCAGCGTTACTCAGATCACATCCTACCACTCACTGCTCATTACCCTCTGTGCTCCCTACTGCCTTCAGAATCAAACCCAAATAAACTCTTAGAAGAAAACATAGGTGTGAATTTTTATGACCTTGGATTTGGCAATCATTTCTTGGATGTGACCCCAAAAGCATAAGCAACCAAAGGAAAAAGATAAACTGGACTTCATCAAAATTAAAAACTTGTATGCATCAAGGACACTATTAAGAAAATGAAAAGACAATCCACAGAATGGGAGAAAATATTTGCAAATCATACATATGATAAGGATCTAGTATCCAGAATATATAAGTATATAAAGAATACATAAATTACAATTTAACAATAAAAAGACAAATGGCCCAATTTAAAAATGGGCAAAGCATTTGGATAGACATTTCTCCAAAGAAGATATGCATATGGCCAACAAACACATGAAAATAGCTTCAACATCACTAGTCATTAGAAAAATGCAAATCAAAATCACGAGATACCTCAAACCCACTAGGATGGCTAGAGTTTTAAAAAATGGAAAATGACAAGTGTTGAGGAGGATGTGGAGAAATTGAAACTCTTCTACATTGCTTGTGTAAATGTAAAATAGTGCAGCTGCTATGGAAAAGTCTGGTGATTCCTCAAAAAGTTAAACATAGAATTACCATATGACCCAGCAATTCCACTCCTAGATATAGGCCAAGAGAAATGAAAACATGTCCAAAATCTGTATACAAATGTTCAAAGCAGTGCTATTCACAATCACTCAAAAGTAGAAACAACCCAAATGTCCATCAACTGATAAATGGAAAAACAAAATGTGGTCAATCCACACAAGGGAATATTATTCAGTCATGAAAAGGAATGAAGCATTGACATATGCTACCATGTGGATGAACCTCGAAAACATCATGCTGATTGAGAGAAGCCAGATGCAGAAGGACACATATTGTATGATTCTATTTATATGAATTGTCCAGAACAGACAAACCCATAGCAAGAGAAAGTGGATTAGTGGTTGTCAAGTGCTGGTAGAGGGGGAGTGGGGAGTGATTGCTAAAGGGGACGGGGCTTCTTTTTGAGATGATGAAAATGTTCTTGAGTTAGATAGTGGTGATGGTTGTATAACCTTGCAAATATACTAAAACTCACTTTTAAATGGCTAATTTTATGGTCTGTAAATTATATCTCAGTTAAAAAAAAATGAGACCAAATTCCTCTGGTGGGACCACATCTCCTATCCTTTCTCCTCCCATTAAATCCACCCCAGTCTTACCATAGTCAATGCACTAAATTGAACCTGACCTCAGGGCCTTTGCACTTTCTGATCTCTCTGCTGGGAATACTCTTCCTTCACCTCATCCTAAGCCCAGCTCCTCCTCATTCGCGACTCAGTTTAAGGGTCCCTTTCTGATCACACTCTCTCAAGACACGCCTCCCCTGCTCACCTAGGGGCCCCGCTGGAGGCGTTGGAGGCAAGAAGAGGGCCCAGGACGCCAGAGGCATTAGCTGAGAGCACTGCACAGCCAGCAACCGAGGACGGCAGGACCCCCATGGACTGTGCGCTGGGCGGGTACAGAGTGGCGCCTACTGCCACCCACAGTGAGAGTGCCAAGCCCGCTGCTAGCCCAGAGAGGACGCCCTGGGGGTGGAGCAGGCGTCAGTGAACTGGGGCATCTGACTATGCCCCCCAGCCCCTCTGCCCGCCTGTTTCCACTCACAGGCGTGTTGCAGGCTGGGAGGAACATTCCCAGAGTGAAGGCTCCAAGGAGGGGTCCACTGAGGACACCCATGACGGTGAAGGAACCCTGGAAGATAGGATGGGGGTGTGGCTGAGGGCAGAGCCACCCTACTTCTCCGGGCCTCAGTTTACCTGCTGGGTAAACAAGACCTGAGGAATCCCACCGCAGGCCTTGAGACTCCTCTGTGCCTCAGTGTCTCTAAAGGAGAAAGGATGCTCTGTCTCTCTCCCCTGGGTTGCAGGTAAAGATGCCCATTCTCTCTCCTGATGGATGCGATCCCACCTCCACACCAAAGTGAGGCCCTTCCTGCCCACAGGCTGCCGTCCCCCGACCCCTCACCTCCCACATTCCCTCACCTCCAACCAGGTGGTTGTAGGAAGTATCCAGGGCCACTGGTGGCAGATGGAGCCCAGTTCTGCCACCAAGTGTATGACCCTCTCTAACCTCAGTGCAAGGAGGACAATGCCCCACCTCTTGGGGAGATCAGGGCTCCATCGGGGCGGGGGCTCACCTGGAGGACACCGCCCCCCAGCAGCGAGGACAGAGCCGCCACGGTGAGACAGGCTGAGCCATAGATGAATGCTGTAGCAATGGGAATGGCACTATTAGTTGGGAGAGGCTGCCCTGTCCCCCCACCCAGGTCCCCCAAACTCACAGAGCCCCTTGGAGATGATTACTAGTCTCCGGGGCGCCAGGGAGGACAGCTGCGGTTTGATGAGGTCCTCCACAGTTACTGCAGCCATGGCGTTGATGCTGGTGGATGCAGTGCTGGGGTACACAAGATGGGGGAGGGGGTATGGTCAGGCCACATTCAGAGACAGGCCACATGCCCTCTGGGGTCTACCTGCTAGAGGAGGCCCCTAGCTGCCCATACCATCTGACCTGCCAGGATCCCACCCAGCCCAAGGGCAGAGGCATGGGTGATAGACTCCCCCAAGAGTGGAGATGTCCACCTCCCACCCTGACTCCATACCTGATACCCCCATGGGAGCAGGGACACCCACAGCCAAGGAAACAAACAACACGAGTTCTCATTATAGAACAATAATGCAGCGCAGAGAACTGCTGCATGAGACCTTGGTCACTGCAGGAGCAGAGCTATGGCCAGAAGTCATGGAAGATTTGAAACCACCAGAATGTGAGAGCCCAGAGGCAGGAGTGGGGGACCACTTGGGTACAGCTGTGTCCCAAGATTTAGAATAGCAGTACCTGCCATGTAGTAGGTGCTCAACAAACATTTGTTTGGGGAGGAAGGACAGGCACGAGGAAGG